TGCCAGCAGCAGACCCAGCTCCTAGGTGCGGGTGAGGTGGTGGAAAGAACGGGGGAGTGTGCAGGATTCCGCGCACTCCCATTGGCTGGGAACCTAGTGCTGGCTGCTTCTGGGTGTAGCATGGGCTGTAGGGCCAGGAGAGACAGGAAACTGCCTTAGCCTCTGCCCCCATCACCACTGCACCACTGACCAGGAGCTGCTTGAGGTAAGCCCCTCCTGCCCCAGCCAAAATTAGAGCCCCCTTCTACACCACAAAGGTCCCCTCCTCAGCCCCACCCCAAAGCCCACACTCCACTCACATGATGTTGGGTTGTGGCATCAGCAATTTTCTTCAACTGGGTCATGAGAAAAAAAAAGCTTGAAAACTGCAGAGTCAGTGTCACTTAGTAAGTTTCCACCACAGTCCACCCCTTTCCCCACAAAGATCTGGCCAGCTGCTCCTAAGGCTGAAAGTCACAGGAGCAGACACTGATCATTCTCAGACTCACCACAGCAATGCATTCCCCCTATACGAGAGCTGCGACTGATCACGAGGGTTTTCAAAGGTAATGGTAAAGCACGGATTTGCCTTGGCTTTCCCGTAACTGAGCTTTGGGCTGGAGTCCAACAGAAGGAGAGAAAGCCAACATGTAAATGCTGTAGTGATGTAGCCTACTCAGAAACTATAGGTCCAGGGTACACGGGGAAAGCATGATAATCTGACTGATCCCCAGCCGTCCCAAAAGGAGAGATCTCTCCTCCACCCTGCAGCCTAGGAGCCCTTTCCACATAAGGGTTCCTTGGCTAATCTCTGCTGGGTGCACATTGTTCCTGCATGGCAAGTGTGTGGCGAGGGGTTAAGGCAGAATGTCCTGACTCGAGTCCTGTAAGAACCACTTCCCCATATCTAATTCCAGCCAAAATCTGAGAGCGCAACTGCTTTGCATTTCTGACCCCTGCTACCTTAACCCTCCGCAATCCAGCCAAGCCCTGTTGGTATGTTTACAGCTTCTGTGCCCTCCCCAGCAGCGAACGTGCTCCAGAGCCTGCTGCTCCCTCTTGCACCACACTTTACCTACAAGTGCTTCTGTCCTCCTTTTGCTAGCACAGTGGAAGGAGCAGAAGCGTAGTTACTCCACGCTATAGGTGCTGTTTCCTACCAAGCTGATATCTTGCCCTAATGTCCTCCCACCCACGCCCCCACACATTTCTATTTTGCATCAAAGAGCAAGAGAAGTAGAGCAGAGGAGGCAAAAGGGCAGAAGCAGATAGTACAGCTCTAAGCTGGAGAACGGGAAACTAGTGGTACGTTTTTTCACTTCCTCCCTAGAGGAGAAAAGGAAACGTGATATTTACAAAGCCGCGCAGTGTCACACTCTACCTTGGGGAATCTTCCATGGAATTTTTTCCCCCTTTTGATTTTGTAACTACACATATAAACCACGCACCAACACACCTTATGATCCCTTCAGCCTGAATTGTTCTTCCTCTTATTTTCCTGGAGGCGGTGTTCCAGTGATGTCTCACTATTTAGTTAGAGGTTAACATGACAAAGCATTTCTGAGCACCCGCTGGGTCAAACAACACCACTTCATTTACTTTGTAGCATAAGCCATTCGGGCTCGTGCCACCAGTTCAACTGTAGCGCGTTTCTACTTGTGAAAAGTGATTATGCAGAATGGCACCATCTTACTTTGACAGTCAGTGGCTGGGCTTTTACTCACCAGTTACTCCTTTTTATTCTTGTTCCTTGGGCAGCGCTACGGTGGTATGGGTGAGGGACCTGAGTTCTGCTCAGATTGATACATATATAAGGTACGTAACACAGTGTGTACGTTACTGT